GACTCAAGATCGGGAGCTCTGTCATCAACATACTGCCGCAGGTGCCGGCTCTGCTAAAGCCGACCCCTCCAAGGACGTCCGAGGTATCCTTTTGCTCTGCTGTGCTCGGCACGGCAATATGGTGCCGGGCGGAACTGTAGACATCTACTTTGTAGAGAAGTATGTGATTTTCCTTGCCAAGCAGCATAAGCTGAGAGTGTGTACAGTCAAGCACAGGCTGATTACGCGCTCAATAACTCCATGCGACTGAACCTCGACCCTCGCATATCGACGCGCCTCATCATTGGGTACGACATCTGGTGTCAGTACGGCGTTCATCTGTTGGAGCGCTTTCGTCGCTTTGGACATCTTTCCTTCCCGGACTTCTTGACTGAACTAACGGGAATTTGACATGGAGATTCTTGAGACTCTCTGGTCGGTACTGAACCTGGTCACCACATCTTGCCGCAACATGTCTCGCGCGAACCGGGAGGAGACTATTAACTTCAACATAAACGACATAAACTTGAAGAAAATCCGGAACCTCAGTGAGTGTCGGCACCATCGGCCGGGCGGCACGTCCGGCACCGTCGGCGTCTTCTGATTTTACCCTCTGCAGCTGCATCGACCGTAGCCAAATACAAAAAGAAAACAGCTATCCGTACTCGCCGCCTTGCGCTAATGGAAACTATGGATAGTCTGACCTCTAAAGCTAGTCGTGTACGATGGGAGGGCCAGCTGCAAGTTGCATACCGCAAACGAACNAAGCTAGTCGTGTACGATGGGAGGGCCAGCTGCAAGTTGCATACCGCAAACGAACGATTACATTGGCACACCCAGAAACGTACGACGCAAAGTTCATGGATAAGTTCCTACAGAGTGAATATATCGGTACACCAATGATATTATAAATACTCTACATATCTAAAGAACTTTTACAGCGCCTGATATGAAGGCCGTGGAGTCCGAGTTACTCGAGCGGGAGCATGAAGCGAGCGAAGAGCAAGGTCTGGTCAAGCTTGTGATAAACAGGCTACAGATACAGATAGAACAGTACGTCTGTATGTGCACGTAACATCCACCTACTGATCGTTTCCAGGCTAAGCTGGCAGGCCTTTGACAAAAACCATAAGCCTCTCTCAGAGTCCAATCAGGCGAAGTTGTCTTCCGCTCGTGCCGACTTGAAGTCACGTATCAAGAAGCACAATGCCCTCGCGCGGGAACTATTTGGTCCACTACCCGCCACTGCAGACATACCGTCTGGAGACCCGCTGTTTGGTGCAGGTGTACGTTTAGGGACCATACCGGACGAGGACCCATCAGACGACCGGGGCGGCACCTGGCGGCAGGACCGGCAGATCGGCACTCGGCAGCCGGAGTTCTATCCTGTCGACCTCCCATCCTCTAGGGGAGGGGATCTCAGTACAGCCGTGTTAGCACGGGCTGGAGCCTATGAAATCTCCCTCAGAGTTGTGTGGATGTCCCAGCTTCTGCATGAGATATGCATGAGTCTTGTTGTGCAGGTGGAGATATTCAGGCGAAC